CAGGCAGGAAAAGCCACGGAAAAGTTTATTTGGTCTCAGGTAAAGCCAAAGTGATTCAAAATTGTCTTAATGCAAATCTGTTAAGATTTTAAAAGGAATTTGGTCTTTAATATAAGCACAAACGCCACCCCCGATTCTAGAAATTCTATCATGCCGAACTAAGGAAAAGCCACCTTCATCAATATTTTCATTTAGCCATGTCTCAGTTATAAAGGCCAACCCAACCTCATTTATATGCAAAATAGTTTTCAGTTCATCAATCTTAGGTAAAAGTGATCGAGAGTTCGCTAGAAAGAAAGTTAATAACTTTCGCGGAAGGCGAAGGGAAACGCAGGTTGGACAGATTATGACGTCGACAAGCGCTTGATTACTCGTCGCACAAGCATGGCAAGTCTGTGGTGATCGCCCACCGCGACTGTCGCGGTTCTCTCGCGCACGCTCGTGTGGTCGTGTAGAGGGGCACGGCGGCCGTGTGGCATCGACCGTGAGACGAGAGTTGCGAACGTATCGGCTTTCGCACTCTTTAAAGATTCACGAATGTGTCGAGCTTCTTTCACTCGCAAACTGCGTTGTGACCCGGAAAGGTTTCAGGTCACGCACTGTGAAATAATGCGATGTTCGAATATTTACTCGGTATTCTATAAGTTTGAACGGCAAAACACGTGTGTTTGAGTGACACGCGAGCCAGTTAATTGGCACTTGGAATGTATGTGCGATGACTTGAAATTCCGTTGGCAAGCAAGTTACTTTATACAGCAAATTAATTTAATAGTGTGCAAAGACTCGAAGTGCTTACAAAATATAAACGTGTATAGCTTTACTTACCATATAATATGAACACGAGATGGAGATTTCGGCACGAAGAATATATAAAGAGTATCTTCTGTGATAAATGATATGTTTGACGCCTGATTCTATACAAAAACAATCGACACACGGCAGTGTTAGAAAAAACCCCAGCTTTATACATTTATACATGAATATTATATGTTGAAGGGGATGAGCGGGAACGCAGGTCCCCATTACCAGAAATTATACGCTCGAGGTACCCACATTAGGGGTAATCGCAGGAGTCAACCCAGTCGAAGTGCAATGAAAGGGCCTCATCCTGAGAGGACCTCCTAGTTGATCAAGGTGCCTCTCGCGTCAGGTAAGTATGCTGTGCTTTCCGCTGCTCACCTTAAATACGCGATGATGATGAGACGCGATGGTGGTAGTTCCAGGGGTTTCCCTCTTGTCATGAACGTCATGTGCCGCGATCTAGAGAATGAAAAAGTATGTTAGTAAAATTATATGTAGTTGATTCGGTTCATAGTTGAATGAAAGCACGCTCACAAGGTGTAAAATATCGACATAGGATAATAATAAAGTGTTACAAGTCATATGATATGTATCTTATATATGCATGAGAAAGCTGTGATTACTTCATATGGTATTGTAGTGGAGTATGGTGGTTAATAATCTATCGGGCATGTGAAAACCCCTGTGTACTTAAGTGTGTGTGTAATCGTTTAATAACCTAGAGATTGTTTTATAGTTTGATTTGTTTTTGAAATAAAAAAATGTTCTTCCCCGAGTGGGGAAGGGGCCGTACTCGGATGTAGTGCAATACCGAGACAACCTGTGGCCAGGGCGAAGCAAGCTTCAATCCCACGGCCGAAGTCCAAAAATCAGTTTAATATATGAGTTAGGCATTGCCTAACATATCAGATATTAAGCTGATAAGAACAGTTGCTACACAGCAAGCAGACCAACAGAGAGTATGACCCTCTCCCCCGTGCCATGATACAACCATGAATTGCCTGAGCGGTTGGGTGCAAACCACCCGCCTACCCAGGGGTCCCTACACCTATTAATTGTGAATCGTGCAGAAATGGTGTTAGCTGGTGTGAAACATCATGAACAATCCCCTGAGTTCACCAGATGGCCACAAATTGAAAGGCAACAGCAGTACATCAACGAAGAAGACCGCTGCACCTATAACAACAGACAGGACATGAAAAGACAAACAATTGCACAACATAAAACAAAGATACCTGAACAACATAAGAGCCAGACAAACATAGGAACAAGACAACATAGGACCTGGACAACATAGGACCCGAAGACAAGGTTACCTGTCCAACAAATGACACATAGTTTTATAGCCAGAGCAGTAACTTCCAATTAAGGAGACCCCTGGGCATCTAAAACAAACAAGAAAAACAACAGAAATAACACTAACAGAGGACAAAACATTATGTGACAAAGTCACTGGAGAAACGAATCCAATTCGCGTCTGTAATGGATCCGACAAGGCCATCGGCAAGCCAATGATGAAAAAAATGATCAGGGAGACAATGACGCTTGTGCATCCGGAGGAGGAACCGAAACGTCGAACGAGCCTTCCGCAAAGTAACAATGACGTCAGGAGGAACATTCTCGAACCGGTGACTATTTCGAGCCTGCCAAATATGGTGACGCAAAAGCCCAATAATGCTGAAAACACAATCGGAATCCTCGACCTGGAGGGAAAGCCAAATAAAATGGTACTGGCAGGAATAGAAGTTACCGATGGGTTGAACTTACGAAACTGAATCAGGAACCAATCCAGAACGGCCAGCGCGAAGTGACAAGATGTGAACAAATGTAATAAATTCTCGGGCTGAACACAAAAACACGGAGGATCAACATGCATGCCAAAACGAGTCAAACGGTCTGCTGTGGGAAGAATGCCATGAAAAGACAACCAGGATGTATCTTGCACGGCATGGATGAATCTCCACAGACGAAGGCTAGCCCAGACTTCAGGCCACTGGACAGAGAGACTGTGATCACGGAATTTAGCCACGGAACGATGATCAACATGTCGCAGACACAAAAGGAACGTGTAACCGATACTGGCAGTCAATTCGCTAATGGGAAGAGGATCAGCAGATGGACGAGGGATCACCCATTCACCAGAATCTTGTTTACCACGAAGAGCCAACCAAGCCCGAATAAGGTCAGCATAGAAAGAGGGAAGTTTCTTTACCCAGTACGCAGTGATATGATCACGCACAAGAACATCACGAACAGGTTGACCAAAATGCATAGACACATAGAAATTGAAAAATACTGTCCAAGAATGTGGGCATTGAGAAAAATCCGCCGAAGCCAAACAGCCCGAAGAGATGCTAACTTACATGAGACATCCACAATGCCAAGACCACCTTGTGCCAACGGCTGCGAGACGGAAGATCGAGCCATCCATTCACGTTTCTTACCCCATACAAAGGGGAACAAGAGTTTATTGATACGAAATATTACAGTTTTCGGCATGTCAAAGATGGTAGCTTGATACCAGAAAATGGACAACCCAAGCATATTGACAATCAAGGAACGGCCACAAAAGGTCAGCTGGCGTTGCTTCCATAAACAAAGTTTACCCTCAAAACGTTCAATCAACGAATTCCAGTCAACTGCATCATCATTACCCAGGCGACAGCCAAGAACAGTGATAGCGACATTACTCCAATTCAATGGAACAGGCAAGTCCAGACGAGTACGCCAGGAACCAAATAACAAGCCATGACTCGTGCCCACGTTAAGTTTCGCACCAGAAGCTTTCTCATACCGCGCGAAGAGGGAGAACACAGAGAGGAGGGCTTGATATGAACGCACCAAAATACTTGTGTCATCGGCATATTGGAAAAGCTTAACACATGGACCATCAGGCAAAACAATACCATCAATGTGAGGATCCTTTTTAATAGCACTAGAAACAGTTTCAGCAACTAAAATGTAAAGCAGAGGCGATAATGGACAACCTTGACGAACACCCCGCGACACACGAAATGCTTCACTGGTGAAACCATTGACAAGGACATGGGAAGAAATGCCAGAATACAGCAACTGCACCCAAGACCGAAACAAAAGACCAAAGTTCATTTTCACCAAAACACGTTGCACAAACGACCAGTCCAAAGCCTTTTCCTGATCAAGTGAAATCAGAGCACCACCAATGTCATTGCCATTTGAATGATTGATAATATCCTGGAGGAGACGAACACTTTCACTAGAAAAACGACCAGGAACACCACAGGTTTGGGAAGATGAAACGACCGAAGAGATGACGGATTTCAGACGATTGGTCAAAACTTTGGCCAAGATCTTGTAATCCGTGCACAACAAAGAAATAGGGCGCCAATTCTTAGTGTCCAGCTTATCATGCTTCGTATAAAGCAAGGAAATGAGTCCAGTATGCTGTGTAAATGACAATGAGCCTTGTACAAAACAGTCATAAGAACATCCCCAAAACACTTATAAAATCCATAAGGCAAACCATCAATGCCAGGCGTCTTGTTATTACGAAAACTGTTAAGGGCCGCAAGACATTCAGCAGGAGTAATATCAATGGAGCAAGAATATCAATGGAGCAAGAATACAGGCGGTAAACAATTGCACATAAAAAAGACACCAGACACGAATAATAGCTGAAACAGAATGGACAACAACTCCTTGCGCATTCGGAATTCCAGTGAATAACTTACGGATGGCACGAGACTTTTCAAGACGGAAAAAATAAGACTATGACGATTCACCCTCTTCTGCCCATTGTTCCTTAGCACGAAGCTTAGCCCCATCTGCACGATGCTGGTGTTCAAGCTCAAGAAGATCTTTGGTTTCCTTAATGAAACGAGCCACATCATCACCATTCTGTTCGCGGCGACTAAGGTGATACAAAGTATTCTCCAAGGAGGAAATGCGACCACGACGGGACCGAGCCTTTTCTCGCGAATATCGCTTCATCAACGACATTAAACAGGCTTTACCAGCATCCCACCACAAATCAAGAGAATGAAACAAATGTTTTTGATCCTATCCACAAATGCCAAAAGTCACGAACACAAGTTGTAAAGATCTCATCCGCCAAAATGGAAGTGTTCAGCTTCCAAACCCCAGGTCCCCGATCAGGCATAGTTGGCAAGGGAACACAAAGAAAAACGTATGAATGGTCTGAACGAAAAAAAGTAAAATATCCACGTGCTGAATATGTTCAAGTAAGGAGGATGAAATCCAAAACATGTCCAGACGAGAGGCTTGAGAACCATTAGGGCGACGTCACGTAAAATCACGAACATTTGGATGACACTCACGCCAGGCATCCACCAAATTTAAAGTGGAAGTAAGGTGAGACAAAGTCTG